TGCGGGGCACGCGTGTGTGTCTTTGTGTGTGTGTGTGTGTACCCAAAATCTCAAGAGGAGAATGGAGGAGAAGGGATTGCTGCATGACCACCCCTCCAGGGTGTGATTTCTCACTTTCTGTCTGTCTTTCCAGTGAGCGCACGCATCCTATAGCAGAAATTCTCTAAGAAAAACAAGAGAGAGAGAGAATAATTCTACTAGTTCCAGAGATTATTTTGCAGTCTTTGATGCTTTTCTTGCTTGGGATGGAGGGGAGGAGGTGACCAGTGAGCAGTCGGTCCCACACTCTGGCACTCTTTGGAAAATCCGTCGAGATGAAAAAGCACTCTGTAGTTCTCTTTCCAGTTTCTCCTTGAAGCCGCATAATCTGGCTCTCTGAGGACGGACATGGATGTGCCATTATGCCAGCTGTTTCGTGCAGCTCCTTCAGAGGAAGAACACGATCCTTTTTATTTTCAGACTGTACGCTGATCGTGGTACACTCATTACCGGTCCTTCGAGTCGAGCAGCTGTTCAAAGGGCAATAAGAGTTGGGTGATCTTCGTGCCAAAACAGGCGATGGCCGAGGGGTCCGACTAGATCTCCCGGTTGCAGGGACCGTTGATACTGTGTCCTCACCAGTGCCCGTGTTCTGTGAAGCTGTGTGTATGTGTCAGACCACTGTCACACTGTCACCGTCTCATCAGTTACTGCTGTGGTCAGGGTTTGAAAGATGTGCAGTGGATTAGAATCTCCGTGAAGGCAGGGACCGGATCCCCTGGTTCTCTGCTGTCTTGGCCCCGGTGGGCGTCAGAGTAGAGGGGAGCTCCGCAGGAATGGATGTGGGCAGCATTTGCAGACTACCTGGGATGTGGTCAGACGGAGATGGCTGGGCCCAATGGGGACCCACCGCATATCCTGGCTGTGAGCACCATCACTGGCGAGGACTTTGATGGACGGTTATGACTTTTCGAAATAGTTCAGTTGATTGATTGCCAAGCGTACTTCCTTCGGTTTCTGATTCTCATTCTTGCTTTCACAGGCTGTCATTTTAGAAAACGAAGAACTTCCCAAACTGTTTCTTGATTTCCTCAACGTGCGACACTTGCCCTCTCTACCAAAGGCAGAAAGTTGCGGGTAAGAACTGAAGTGTGCGCGTCGCGTGTGTACCTTCTGTCACCTTGCGGTAACCGATTGGCCTCTCATGTTACCAAGTGGTGCCAGGGCCACCCTGGCTGCAGTTTGGAGACAGCTCTCACTCCCTCACTGCTTGCAGTCAAGGAATCGCTCCGATGTCCCCATACCTGTCCTGCAGCCAGATGACCAAGGCCCAGTAATCTGTGTTTAGATTTGAGGCGCTGACCTTTTTAACGCATGAACGATAAGAGCCCAGACACATGTGTAGGGACCACTTTGGTTCCCAAGGGTTCCCTAGCCACGCCCGTATCTGCTGGCCATGCATACGCATAAAATTTAAAGCTGTCAATGACCTTGGGGAGCGTTTGATCCTACCCCCCTCAGTGGATAGCTGAACAAACAGAGATGCAGGAATCCCAGGATCTCTGGTCTCCCAGCTGGCTGAACTCAGACCTTTCCACACCAGCCTGCTTTCTCACTGCCCTTCCTCATCGGATGCAGACCTGAGTCCTTGTCTACCGAGGAACCAGGGACCCGTTTAACCAGCAGCTGGGAGAAAGCCCTCCTGAAGAGTCCCCTCTGACATAAGCCATTTACCTTCTATGGCACGAGACTCGAGCCGAGCTGGCCTCCCAGGGCAGTCAGCAACATCCCTGGTGTAAATCCAGCCCAGAGCAAGTCCTCATACTGCAGATCTGGCCGGTGGAAGGATGGATCCATTTTCTTACTGCCTCCAATCCTGCCTGACTGACGATGAGACGATCCAAGTAGTTGCACCCAAAGTCATGTTAAAGCCCAGCGTCTGCCAGATGACAGGCTGCAAATGCCTGTCCCAGCCCCTCACTGCCACTGCTTCTGTGGGGACACTACACACCCCAGAGCAAGAATCACAGGCCACGGTGGAAGTGCGTACACTGTCGGCGTGCTCCATTCCACCTGGCATCTCTTGCCGAGGTGTTCTGTTCCAGCTCATGTGCACTTTGTAGAAAGTTAGGCTTTCCATATGTTTGTTTATTTTTGAGAACCAATATTAGCAGTGCCAGTGAGTGAAGTCGTTTCTCTATTATACAAACCTCAAAGTAGTAATAAAACTTGAGGATTTTTTTAGAGAAATTTTTACATGTACGCTCAATGGAGACACAGAGACAGAGAAAGAGAAAGTAAGAAATCATGCCACAGTCCCTTCTCCTCCGTTCTCCTCTCAGGATGCTGGGCATACGTGCCCACGTGCCTGACCTGAGTTTTAAGCCTCCAGGTCCAGGATTGGAACCACGGTCAGCCACATGGGAGTCCAGTACCTTAACCATTATGCTACCTCCCGGCCCCCAGACCTTAAGCTTTTTAAATGATCTTTAAGAAAATTGAAATCCAAAATTATTTCAGTGTCGAGGTTCTTGAGGATGAGGCACCTGTCACGCCACCGCTCGATGAAAACACACAACTCTTTTGTTGTTGTTTATTTGAAATGCCTTCCAATTCCACGTGCTAAGAGTACCAGCTGCTTTGTCTTCTGTTGTCATAAGCATTGACTCAGCTCACATGGTCTTTTTCTTTGCTTTTACAAACTTTTCAGATCTTTTGATGAGACAGAATCTGAAGAATCGAGGTAAGAAGTAATGATCGTCAGGCGTTATTGCGACCAAGGGTAGGAGAGTGAACTTGTTCAGTCTCTAGTTACCCAGGACGTGAGTGTTCCATGCCATGTGCATGGAAATCTCTGTTAGGAAATCGGTGTTAAGCTGATAGACATTGGGTAGGGGATGACAGGAACGCCGTTACAGTTAGGAGCAAAGGCATCAAAGCCCTCCACTGTCACGGAAGTAACAAGATGATGCAGTAATGCAACGAAGCAATGTGAGTAGTCAGTGTCTCCTCCACGCGATGCTGTTTTATCAGTGTTCGCATCACCAGAGTTCTAAGAAAGCGCCCTTCAGCGGGGCTTTATTGCACAGGTTGCGTATCTGCTTCATATTGCACAGAGTCGTGGAGACACCGAGCCTGGCGCTGGCCCGTCCCTCCGACTCCGTGTGCTATTATCCACCCACACCGCCGGATACCAACCTGGAGACATCCCGCGCCGCAGTCTGATCCCCTCAAAGCTAGTTTGTAGTGTTTTCTGTTTACCGTCGTGCCCTGATACTGACATGCCTGTTCTTGACCTTTGCAGCAAACTGTCCCACCAGCCGGTGCTGCTGTTCTTCAGGGACCCATACGTCTTGCCTGCAGCCAGCGGTAATCAAACCTGTCATCTGCTAACAGCTCTTTACTGATCTGACCCTGCACCACATAAACCACGTTTTTAATACAGGTCTAACAGAGTGACATTGGTCCAGGGCTTAATAATCTGCCAATAAGCCAGTGCTCCTGGTGGAAGAGACATTTAGAATTTTAATTGGGGCCAGGCTTGCAGGAGGAAATGTAATTTTTCTCTCTCTCTCTCTTACCAGGCTATTTTAAATTAGTGTAATAGGGAGGGAAGATACTTACTGTCTTGCATTTTTTGGCAGTGGTATTTTGATCTCTGCTGGTTCCCTGAAGATGCCAGGGTCCGCATTCAAAACTCCAGTCCTTTGATGAAATGCTTCTTCCTACAAGCTCCGTGTGCACCTGGCAGGGCAGGCGTGTCTTCCTTTCCGTTTAGATCGCAGCATCTTTGATGATCAAGTATATGTTTTTAAAGGTTGTATATTTTAAATACAATTCATTGATTTAAGTATAATGGTAATCAATATTTCACCCTGAGGCCTTTCTCTGTGCCAAGAAATTAAAATGCCTCAGGGTCCCTCTCCAAGTGTTCCTTTACAAAGATCTCCGCACGCCCATTCTCAGACATGATCTCATTTCACTGCCTTAACCTTACAGCGTAGGCAGGGCTGCTGTCACCAGCGGCCCGATGAGGACATCAGGCCCTGGGAGGTCTGTGACTTGCCTGTCCTAGTCGGCTGATGAGGGACCCCCGGCTGCCCGGTTCTCCTTCAGTGGTCTCTGCAGGCAGGAAATTTTCAGCCTTTGTTTCCGAGAGTCACTAAGTAGCATAGCCACTAAATAACGGTAGACAAACGATTTGCTGAAACCGTTCTCTGACAATACAGCCTCATCACCGGCCAGACAAGGGGGCTGTTCTCTGTAGCACAGATGTGCTAGAACACTCACTCAGCCTCAGTCGAGAGAAGGGAGGGAGCTGACACAGCCTGGCTCTGCGAGGGCCCTTCCCTGCGTCCCCATCGGGGAGCCGCCTTCGTGTGTGGGTTTGGCCTCAGCGTGCTTTCCCTGGGAAACCCTCAGTGAGCAATAATCACCTCTCTCTAACATGTGGTCCTTCTGCTTAACAAATAGGCATCGTGCTCGCTTCGGCAGCACATATACTAAAATTGGAACGATACAGAGATTAGCATGGCCCCTGCGCAAGGATGACACACAAATAGGCATATTGTAACAGGGGCTGTTAAAAGGTTATACTTACCTTGGGATCAGCAGTTGGCATAATGGCTATGTCGCTGGACTCCCACGTAGTTGACCACAGTTCGAGTCCCGGACCCCGTGGTTTAAACTCATGCCGGGTGCATGCACGTGCATGCCCAAGATCCCAAGAGGAGAATGGAGGAGAAGGGATTGCGGTGTGGCCATCCCCTCAGGGGGTGATTTCTCGCTTTCTGTCTCTCTGTCTCTGTCTTTCTGGCGAATGCACACCCCCTATAGCAAAAATCTCTCAAAAAAACAAAAAAGGTTATACTTACCCGTTATTCATAACGCAATCTAGACTAGATTGAATAGGTGGTGTTTTATCTTTTAAAAAAAAGTACTTTTTCCAGGTATTGCTTACGCTCAGGTATTTCACACATCTGACTGAAAGTCCTGCACGTTATAGAGAGCAGAGTGATCTTTGTCGACTAGAATAGCCAGAAACTTTTTAAGAAGTTTTTTTTTTAATTATTTATTTCCTTGCTGTATGGCGTACATGCTCACCAGAGAGAGAGAGAGAGAGAAGTGATAAATCACCCTGCAGGGTGCCATGCTGCAGTCCCTTCTCCATTCTCCTCTTGGGATTTGGGCATACACACACACACACACACACACACACCCCTGGTGTGATTTTTCAAGCCACCAGGCTCAGGACTCGAACTGTGGTTGAGCATGTGTAAATTCAATGCCTCAACCACTATACCACCTGCTGGCCCTAGAACAGCCAGAATATTTAATGGAAGAAGGGAGGTATTTTATGACCCGTATGAAGCTAGGCTCCTGACCCAACAGCGAAGAGCAGGTGTGGCTTTCTGAGACAGATGTCTGGAGCTGCAGAGAGGGAGGGTGGGCACCGTTGGCAGCCTGGCGTGGGGATGGACTGGCCAGATGAGGGATTCCTGCTTGAGAGTCTGATGGCCAGGAGGGAGCCCGGCATGGGAGGGTTAGACACCAGTTCTCTTGTCTTGGAATGCGGGCCAACCTTGTTTCAGGGATCAGAATCTCGTTGTCTCAGAACCGTTACACTGATAAACGGATACGTTCCTGCAAATCTCTAGCATCTAGTTTAGAGAATCCTTACTTGCACATTGTTGACTTACGATACCTCTTAGCCAGACTCCGAGGTTGTCATTCCATGGAAATACCCTCACAGATAAACTAACCCCAAAAGCCAGAGGAGCATCCATTTTTAAAGTTCTGACCATCAAACATTATCCTCTTATAAAATACTAGTGATCAAACGTTACCCTCTTAGCTTCTATTTTTAAACCTTTGTGTGTGTGTGTGTGTGTGTGCGCGTGCTCTGCCATAAGGTGTGTGTGCACTCACTGGAGAGAGCCAGAGAGAGAGAGCGAAAAGGAAAGTGAGAAATCACCCCCGGGATGGGGGTGGTGGACACGCCACAGTTCCTTCTCCTTCATTCTCTTCCTTAGACTTTGGGCACACACAGGCCTGGTGAGATTTGAGCTGTTGCATTCAGAACTCAAACTGTGGTCAGCCATGTGGGCATCCAGCGCCTTAGCCACCATGCCATCTGCTGGCCCCACTACCCTCTTAGCTGTTAACATCGGAAGTGAAGAGAGTACCCCCTGACGAATTGAAAAGGGTACGCTTTTTGATTTTCCTGGGAAGCTGAAAACAACCTTTCCTCAGGGACTAGTGTGGCAAGACCCCATGGACATTTGCCAGGCCTCATCTCACTCAGCCTGCCGTCAGTGTGGACACGCTGGCCACCTTCTCCCCCTCCCGCTACGTCTACTCGGCTCTCCCCACT